GCAGTGGTACCTGATGAGCATGGGGTCTGGGAGGAAGGTTTGTGTTTGTCAGAATGGCTGGTAGAGGGGCGCCCGGGGGGCTCAACTGGTCAAGCCTCCAACTCTTGACTTCGGCTCAGGTCATGATCTCACGGATCGTGAGTTCAAGCCCCGCGTCAGGCTCTGTGCTGGGAGTGCAGAGCCTGCTTGGGATTCTCTCTCGTTCCCTCTCTCTCTGCTTCTTCTGCCCGCCCCCCAAAACAAAAAATCAGCTTTAACCTATAGTCACACCTCACCAGGGGACCCCTGGACCTCCACCGGGGCACAAATTCAATTTCCGAGACCCCCCAAAATGGTAGGCACCCATGCGCACAGCGGGAAACTGAGGTTCAGGGAATTCGGCCTGAGGCTCGTACACTTCAGGGGGCATCGGGAACTCTGTGGGGTTCTAGAGCCATCTTGGGTGCACGTGACTTTCCTTCCCTGGCTCTAAGTGGGTGTAGAACCGCCCCTCTTAAGCCCAGCGTGGTGCTGGGGGGGGGGGTCACTTCTAAGCATTTGCACTTCTGCATGGAGTGCAGCCTCTTGTCTCCTCGTCTGCTGTGCTCTAGCAGGCACAGAGTGGGCGCACAAGGCCCCTGAGCAGAACTTTCCAGATGCTCTCCCAGCCCACCCTGCCCCTTGTCTGCCTGCTCTGAGCCCAGGGGGCTGCCTTGTGTGTTTGTGCATCTGCCCAGCTGCCTTGTCTCTGTGTTCATGGGGGACGGGGGAGGTGCTGGGGGATGCCAGGCCTCTTGAGCCTGCCTCGATGTACCCACACCTGCAGAGCTCTGTATGCCTCGCTGCTGTCCATGGCTCCCTGTCGCCAGCCTTCTCGTGAGAGCTGATTTATTTTTTTTATTTTTTTATTTATTTTTAATTTTTTTTCAACGTTTATTTATTTTTGGGACAGAGAGAGACAGAGCATGAACGGGGGAGGGGCAGAGAGAGAAGGAGACACAGAATCGGAAACAGGCTCCAGGCTCCGAGCCATCAGCCCAGAGCCTGACGCGGGGCTCGAACTCCCGGACTGCGAGATCGTGACCTGGCTGAAGTCGGACGCTTAACCGACTGCGCCACCCAGGCGCCCCATCGTGAGACCTGATTTAGACCCATCTCCCCTCTCAACCCAGACTCCCCTGGCACCAAGAACATTCTGGATGCCTCCCCTGGATGCCCGGTGTATTCGTTTCTTAGGGACGCCTCAGTTTTCGAGGGCACCCATAACAATGCCACTAACTGGGTGGCCTAAAACAACACAAATGTATTCTCCAAGTTCTGGAAGCTAGAAATCCTGAAACCACGCTATTGGTAGTGCCGCAGTCACTGGGGAGGATCCTTCCTCTCCTCTTGGAGCTTCCGGCAGCCCCGGGTCCTTCCTTGGCTTGTAGCAGGACTACTCCAATCTCTGCCTCTGTCCTCCCTGTGTGCACCTCTCTTTCCTTTTCCTTTCTAAAATTTTATTTGATCTTTTAAGCAATCTCTATACCCAACCTGGGGCTCGAACTCACAACCCCGAGATCAAGAGTTGCATGCCCTGCGGACTGAGCCAGCCAGGCGCCCCTCTTTCCTCTTCTTATAAGGACACCGGTCATATTGGATTAAGGCCCCCCACCCTACTCCAGTAGGACCTCATCTGAACCCATTACATCTCTGACGACCGTGCGTTTCCAGAGAAGGTCACATTCTGAAATGCTGAGGGTTAGGACATCAACACATCTTTTTTGGGGGTGGGGGGGGGACAAAACTCAACCCGTAACACCCTTGGAGCACCTTATACTCATCATGTCCTCACTGACCCCATTACCTCCAACCGGGACTTGCCCCGGACACCCGCGTGTCACCCAGCGTCCCCTTCCCCTGGGCATCTAGGGGAGGCAGCCAGGATGCCGTGACTCATTGAGAGTCTGGGCTAAGTGGGGAGCTGGGTCTAAATCTGGTGTGGAGATCACGACGAGGCTGTACCCACAGAGGTGCACGGGGCCCTACAGGGGTGAGGTGCCGGAAGATGGAGGTCAAGGTACATTGCTCCCTTGACTTTTTTTTTTTTTTTACACAAATATCTTTTCTTTAGGGGCGCCTGGATGGCTCAGTCGGTTAAGCGGCCGACTTCGGCTCAGGTCATGATCTCTCGGTCCGTGAGTTCGAGCCCCGCGTCAGGCTCTGTGCTGACAGCTCAGAGCCTGGAGCTTGTTTCGGATTCTGTGTCTCCCTCTCTCTGACCCTCCCCTGTTCATGCTCTGTTTCTCCCTGTCTCAAAAATAAATAAAACGTTAAAAATTTTTTTTAAAAACCCAAATATCTTTTCTTTAATTATTATTATTTTCAATTTATTGTTATTTTTATTTTTTTTTTTCAGTTTTATACCTTTATTTGACAATCAGCGACTAATTCTCCTCCACATTAACTGTCTGGAGATTTTTTGTGAGCGGTGACAGGTGCATAGGTAACCAACGCTACCCTTCGTTGTGGGAGCCATTCTGCCGGGCCCCCGGGTGGAAAGGAACACCTTCGGTTTTCAGCGTTAACTCCCCGGAATCATAGCCGACGTCTGGGAACCGGTTGGGAATCATTTAAATGCATGGAGGAGAAAACCCAACTAAAATTAAGCTAAGACAATGTAACAACATAAAAATGGGGAAGGTTCAGTGAGGGAAGAAATCAGCCGTCAGTAGATTATGTCCAGACACAGATACATGCAGAATACAAATGGGGGGGGGGGGCGCAAAGGTGCCTGGGTGGCTCGGTTGGTGAAGGGTCCGACTTCAGCTCAGGTAATGTTTGTTTTTGAGAGCGAGCGCGCGCGCACATGCAAGCAGGGGAGGGGCGGAGAGAGAGGGGGACAGAGGATCGGAAGAGGGCTCTGCGCAGCGGGGGCTCGAACCTGTGAACCGTGAGATCATGACCTGAGCTGAAGTCAGACGCTTAACCGGCGGAGCCCCCCAGGCGCCCCTTCATTTGGGTTTTGCTCAAATGTCACTTTCACGGAGAAGCCTTTCCTCACCGCCCTGTAGGAAACAGTCTCTCCCTTCCTGCCTTCTTTCCCAGCGGAGCGCTCATTATCCACCCGACATTTCATGAGATATTTGTTGATTAATCGTCAGTGCACCCCCCCCCCCCGCCCCAGAAAGTCAGGTGCATGAGGGCAGGAGTGTTGTCTGCGTTGCTTACTGCTACACCCCCTAGAAAGGTGCCTGGCACAAAGCAGGTGATCAATAAATATCTGTGAACGTGTGGAATAAAAGGAGACCTGATGTTACAGGCAATGTTTTGTGCCTACATGCCTTTCTAAGGGGCAGGGGCCATACTTTCTGTCACCTCTCCGAAGGGGGTCTGGGAGCCCAAAGTTTAAGAGCTACCATCAAAGTTGGTCCTTTTAGACCCGTGGTTTATTTATTTATTTATTTTTATTTATTTATTTAAAAAAAATTTTTTTTTCAACGTTTATTTATTTTTGGGACAGAGAGAGACAGAGCATGAACGGGGGAGGGGCAGAGAGAGAGGGAGACACAGAATCGGAAGCAGGCTCCAGGCTCCGAGCCATCAGCCCAGAGCCCGACGCGGGGCTCAAACTCACAGACCGCGAGAGATCGTGACCTGGCTGAAGTCGGACGCTTAACCGACTGTGCCACCCAGGCGCCCCTAGACCTGTGGTTTAGAGGGGCGGGAGAGGGACCCCTGGACAGAGCCCCAGGAAGGACAAAGAAAGGGAATCTGGGGTTAAGCTGGAGGCCAGGACGTGGGGACTAGTCCATAGGTGACCTGTGTCAGAGGACATGAGGGAGGACACGTCGTCGTGAGAGGAACCCAGGACCCCCTCCTGCTCTTCCTCCCTGCGTTGGGGGCAGACGTGGTTCCCTCCCCCAGCCTCCAGTGAGAAGACAAACAGTGATTTCAAAGACAACCAGAAAGGCTCTTTATTCGCTAGAGCTCAACCCCCCAGGGCCCCAGCCAGGAGCCAAAAACCACGCAACTTAAAACCTGACCTGGGCTCTTTCTTTACTTCGCCCCTAACATAAAATCTAGGCACCTGCCTTTCCCTTCTGGGCACTTTTAAAACCCCATGCTTCTCGGGGAGCTTGTTGACTTAAGTGTTGGAGGATGAAAAAAAACAGGAGAAAAAAAAAAAAGACCTTTAGCAAACTAGCAGGATTTGAAGGGTGGGAGGTGGTGGAGAGATGCACTTGGGCTGGGTGAAAACACCCATTGGTGATTTGCAGGTGGGGGTTGAGTGCTGTGAAATGGAATGAACAAGAAGGTGGGGGGGGGGTGAAAGGTGTCAGCACACCACAAGGTTCTCCACTCCCAGATAAGCCTTCGAAGACAGGGTGCCCCCCCCCGTGTCCCCTCCCTCCCCCAGTTCCTGATGATGGATGGGCTGCTGGGCCAGGGAAGGAACAGTCCAGGGAGGTCCATGAGGCACCGGTGGCTCTACAGGTGGCTGAAGAAGGTGGACAAGGCTGGTCTCGAGTCAGAATCCCATCTGGAATGTTCTTGGGGGGGGGGGGGGGTGGCGAGTGTCCAAACCAGTCTTGTTCACTCTCTCCAGATTCTGAGGGCTGGCCTGGCCTGGGAGAGCACACGGTGTCCCCTAGGTCCATGGATGCAAGAACCCACGAGGAATGGAACCAGAGGGCTGAGAAGTTGAGGGGGGCAGGGCTAGCGTCACCAGCAGCCCCAGGAGGAGTAAAGATCCATGAACGGTGGCGCACAAAGGGCCACGAGGCCGTGCGGTCCCAAGAGGCAGCGGTCCTGCCGCACCAAGAATCCACAGACACCCCCAGGACAGAACCCCCGCGGCCGAGACGTCCCAGGGGCAGGGCTGGCTTGGCCCCCTAACAGCCTCTGTTGTTTCAGGATCCAGCAGGGATGTCCTTCTGGGGGGCCAGGAGTTCCAGAGGGCAGGGGGAGTCAGGGGGAGGGCCCTGGGACTTGGCAGGGACTGAACCAGGAGGGGGTGGGGGGCGGGCACCTCACAGTCCTCAGCGCTTGACCTTGCGGCCGGCCGAGTTGCGCCCGCTGCGGCGGTAGAGAGACTGCTGGCCACCGTTGAGTGGGCAGTACTTGAGCGTGTGTGCCTGGCCGCCGGTGGCCCCGCACAGGGGACACACGTAATGCCGCAGGATGGGGCACATCACCACGCCGTCTGGGGTCTTCAGCTGGTGTGACGAGTAGACGTGACGCGATTCCCCATTGTGCTTGCAGAAATTGCACAAGGTGGCCAGGCCTCCGCTGGCCCCGGGCCCTCCCGGACCCTGAGCCTGCTCCAGCGGGGGCCCAGGTCTCGGCTCCCCGGTCCCTGGGGCCCCTGGCCTCTGCCCCCCACTCTGGATCAGCGCCAACACCACCTGGCTCAGGTTGAAGTAGTCCTTCCACATGTCGAAGGGAGGCAGCTGCATGGCTCTCCGGCAGAGGTGACGCGTGGCTAGAGAGAGGCCAGGGCCGCGGGGACCAGGGGGAAGAAGCGGCAGGTGCTTTTAGGGAGCAGAGAGGAACTGCACCCCCTTTTATACTCCCCCAAAGACCCTTCTAAGCAAAGGTGGAGCTTAGGATTTAAAGGGCCCACTCCTTACCCACGACTCCATCTGACTGTAATCCCCCACAGAGATCAGGTCTGGTCCTGGTCTGCCTCCAGGGTGCCTCGAGACTTCCAGAAAGGCCCTTCCTTTCCCCTGGCCTCAGTTTCTCTATCCATTCAATAAAGCTCCGTGTCCACAAATGCCCCTCTCACCCCCCTCCTCCTTTACTCCCGGGCCGGGGTCCTCCATTTCCTCCAGACCCGTTCCTGATTATAATAACCGCCCCTTACCACGGACCACACGCTATGGGGCACAGTTCCCTGCGCGATCTGATCTCCTTCTCACTGCGGTTATGGGCCCCATGTGATAGATGAGTTACCTGAAGCTCAGAGGGGGAAACTCACCGGCCCAGAGTCACAGAGCATGCAAGTGACCGAGCTGGGGCTCTTACCCAGGTCTTCGGGACCCCAAAGCAAGCACTCCTCCTAGCTCTTTTGGGTTAAAAGCTAATTTTTCCATCACGTCTGGACCTGGGAAGCATATATTCAATACATGTTTTTTGAGTGCACACCACAGTGTTTTATAAGTGACATCTATAAACAGGTTTTGAGCCTCATAGCCACTCAAGGAGGTGGTTATCACTTGCATTTTATAGAGGAGGACAGGGGGCTCAGAGAGGTTAAGGGAGGTACTCAAGGTCACACAGTAGGGAAATGGCATAACTGGAATTCAGGCCCCATGTGACTCTAGAAATACTGGGAATTGATCTTAGAAGTAGCAGAGGACTTTGGCATGGCACAGCCTTGCTTAGAATGCCCCGTCATGGCCCTGTGCGTTGTCACAAATCCTACCTGAACTTGGGGGCCAGGAAAAGCCTTTGCCTCCTGCCCACGTCACCTCGGGGAATTCTTCGTCCACTAACCATCTCCATTTGTTGCCTTGACCACTCAGTGCAGAGTCACCGAGGCTCCTTGTTTTGGATGCTGGAAACTCAGCAGTGACGGCTACCTAGTGCCCGTTTCATGAGCTGCCAGTCTACTGGGGGGACAGCCAGCAAATGAGAAAACAATGGACCCAAAATACCCGCTTACATACAGCGAGGGTGCTCCAAGGGAGGCGGGGCTGAGGGAAGTGACCTAGAAGCTGAAACCACAGAGAAGAATCTTCCAGAAAGAGGAACGCAAGCTATGGAAGCCTAAAATTTGGGGACAGCAAGAGGGATAGGGACAGAGCGAGTATCCCAAGATAAGCCAGCCCAGCGTGCAGGGGTGGCTAGAAGCCATCGGACTATGGATCGCTTTTAGGGGATGTTTTGGAAATGGTTGGGGGCTCTTTGGGTTTGTCACAGCGATTGGAAGAGTGACTGGAGGGGCGCCTGGGTGGCTCAGTCGGTTAGGCGTCTGGCTTCGGCTCAGGCTACGATCTCGAAGTTTGTGAGTTCGAGCCCCGCGTCGGGCTCTGTGCCGACAGCTCGGAGCCCGGAGCCTGCTTCGGATTCTGTGTCTCCCTCTCTCTCGGCCCCTCCCGTGCTCGCATTCTGTCTCTTTCTCTCTCTCAAAAATAAATAAACGTTAAAAAAAAAAAAAAGGAAGTGTGACTGGAATTAGTGAGCAGAGAATGCCGGATAGCTCAACAACCCACATGACCAAGATCTGTTTTGGGCCCCATTTAACTGTCCAGTGTGTTATTGGACACCCACATGTGTAGAAAAAGCCATTTATGATGATCTAAGCCTAGAACCTAGCTGTGTTTTGCGTATAAACGCCAGCACTTTCACGATATTTTCAGATACACTGACTCTTCTTGGAACGCAATTACCGCGTATATTGTTTTCCAGAGTTGTTCACTATTTCTAGAAGCCCCACCACCCAGCCTAATGGTGGCAACTGTCCAGACAACACACAGTTTATTCCTGTCTCATTCATGGACGTCTACACAGAGATGCTAGTATCCGCCTGATGAGATGGGTTTTATTTATTTATTTATTTATCAAAAGATACCATTTTTTAAATGTTCATTTTTATTTTTGAGAAAGAGAGAGACAGTCAGAGGGCTGGGGGGGGAGGAGCAGAGAGAGAGAGAGAGAGAGAGAGAGAGAGAGAGAGAGAATCTGAAGCCAGCTCCAGGCTCCGAGCTGTCCACACAGAGCCCGACTCGGGGCTCGAACTCATGACCTGAGGAGATCGCGACCCGAGCCGGAGTCGGAGGCTTAACTGACTGAGCCACCCAGGCGCCCCTGGATATGTTTATTAAATGTTAGCTAGAGAGCTGTCTGGGTGGCTGAGTCAGGTTGGCATCTGACTCTTGATTCGTGAGATTGAGCCCCACATCAGGTTCTGCGTATGGTTGTGCCACCTGCCCCTGTCGTGTCTGGCTCTGTGGAGGGCTTCTTGCTGGGTGTGGAGCCTGCTTCAGATTCTCCCTCTCCCTCTCCCCAGCACTCGCACTGTCTCTCACTCTCTAAAAAAACAACCAACCAACCAAAAACGTTAGCTAGGATAATTAAGACACAGAGAAGGCAATGATTTTAAGGGCACTTATTTACGGAGCATCTCCTTTGGGTCAGCATGATAGGCTACCTGGGTTCTTGAATCCTCCCCAGACCCTATAAGGCAGCCCCATTTTACAGATAAGCAGTGGGAGGCTCAGAGGGGCCGAGGGGCTTGTCCAAGGTTATATAGATAGTATGGGGTGGGGGCTGGAGCTGAACTCAGGACATCCACCCACTCCCCTGAAAGTCTGCAAAAGTGGTTAGGAGAGGAGCAGAAAGGGACCTCCCGGGTGTAGGGACATTCTGCATTCTGCAGTGGAAAACTGGGAAGGTTGGGGGTAGCTGAGCCACATAGGTTTTCACAGGGAGAACACAAGAGACCTGCCGGCCATCGATGGACCCTCTTGAGGCGGAAGAGACCAGAATCTGCCATGTGGAAGAACAAGGCTCCTGGAGGGAGGGACCAGGACGAGTGTGGGGGTCTCTGTGCTAAGTGCTTTCCACAAAGTCACAGCTGGGAGCTTTCGCGCCAGCAGGTATAGGAGTCCCTGTGCGTTGCAGGACGGAGACGTAGGGACACGGTGCCAGTCCCGGAAGCCATGGTATCCGCTGCATGTGTGAGGTTGACTATGGAGAAGTGGGGGTTTGGAGGTTCCATGAACTCCCCTTAATAATCGCACCTACCATTTGGAGACTCTCAGATTCCCTTGCTTGCGAGTCTTTTTTTTTTTTTTTTTTTTTAACCTTATTATTCCCCCCTCCCGCCCCGCCCCGCCCCCAGGGTCGTTTTTTTCTAGGACACTGTTATTAGCACATGGCTACCCTGCCTCCCCCTCCCAGTGGTGTTTTACTGGATCAGTAACTGAAGGACATCCCTCTTCAGGCAAGCCTTCTTCCATGGAGTGGTCAGAGCTGTGTATTGAGGGAAAGTCAGAGGTGATACTGATGAGAAATTCATCAGCCATGGTGTTTACTGGATCCCAGCCTCCACTCCCACCGTGGCCACACCACTCTCAGTGGACCAGACTCCAAGGCTGCCCTGTTTACTCGTGAGTTTCCCTCTCAACCTGGTGCCTGGTGGGAAAACATCTCCTGGGAAGTTCCGAGAAGGACCGGGCGGGGCACGCGTGAGTCAGGAGGAGGGGGACCCCGAGAAAGTGGGGGAGACACACAGAGAGAGGCAGCAGGGATTTCCAGAGGGACCCGAGGGGTGTACTTGTGCAGAGACCAACACAAGGGAAGTTAAAGAGAGACTCTTGGAGAGAAAGATGGAGACAGGAGACAGAACATAAGAACAATATGCTACGGGGGTGCCTGGGTGGCTCAGTCAGTTAAGCGTCCGACTTTGGCTCAGGTCATGATCTCGCGGTTCTGAGTTTGAGCCCCGCGTGGGGCTCTGTGCTGACAGCTCGGAGCCTGGGGCCTGCTTCGGATTCTCTGTCTCCCTCTTTCTCGTCTTCCTTTTTCTCTGCTCTTCCCCTGCTCATGCTTTGTCTCTCTGTCTCTCAAAAATAAATAAATGCTAAAAAAAAATTTTTTTTTAAATATACGTATAAAAGAAAAATACGTGATGTCGCCTGGTGATTGGGAGTGTGGTCACTGCAGCCAGAGTGCCTGGGTAAAATCTGGGCATTGCCACTCACAGCTGTGTGCTTTTGAGGGAGTCATGCCACCTCTCTGGACTTCTGTCTCCCCTGTTTAACAAAAAGGGAGACCATTGCAGACCCCCTACTATGGGACTGGGTTGTTTTTTTTTTTTTTTTTTTTGTAATGTTTTTAATGTTTATTTGCATTCGAGAGAGAGAGCACGAGTGGGGAGGAGGCAGGGAGCGAGGGAGACCCAGAATCTGAAGCAGGCTCCAGGCTCTGAACTGTCAGCACAGAGCCTGACGTGGGGGCTCGAACTCACGAACCGTGAGATCATGACCTGAACCCAAATCGCTTGCTGGCGGATTGCTTAACGGACTGAGCCACCCAGGGGCGCCTGGGGCTGTTTTTGAGGATGACAGCTGAGAACACAGGTAAAGTCATTAGCACAGGTATATAGTGACCTTTGGCCATTATGCTTAATCTCTCTCACTAAAGATTTACTGAGGAGTGCTATGCTGAGGCATGCAGACAGTGGGGGCCCAGAGAGATGGGGAGAATATTTGCTCATTCATTCAACAAACATTTACTGATCACTTGATGTGTGTCTGGCACAGTTCTAGTTGCTAAAGATACAGCGATGAGCAAAATATCCAGAAATCCCCTGCCTTCATGGAGCTGGAATTTTCTACAGGTAACAAATAAGATAGACAGATGATAGATAGTGTATTGGGTAAGACTATGTGCTATAGAGAAAAAAAATAAAAGGTGTGGGATACAGGTAGAGAACGGCCAGGGAAGA